GTGTCATATTTGACTCATTCACTCGTTCACTCATTAATTCATTAATCATTCATTCAATCACTGATTCATTCATGCCTCGTCACCATCATCATCATCATCATCGCCACACCACCACCACCATCATCATCGCCACACCACCACCACCACCATCGTCGTTGTCGTCAACAACTTCCTTATCAGCATTTTTCCATTGCATAACACTTAAAGTCTAATTGATCCAATTATGCTGAGAGCACTTTAATGTAACGACTTGGCTGTTTTTGTTGCTGCTGCTGATGATGAAGATGATGTTGTTGTTGATGTTGTTGTTGTGATGTTATTGTCGTTGTTGTTAATGTTGTTGTCGTTGTTGTTGAAGCATCAGATCGTATTAATATTATTATTTTGTTGTGTGTGTGTGTGTGTGTCTGTGTGTGTGAGTGTGTGAGTGTATGCAAGCTGTACAAGTACATCGCGTGAAAATGTCATGTCGTGTAGGTATGTAGGTGTGTATTTTTCCAGTAAGTAAAGTGCCTTAGCTTGTTGTTGAAATTTCATTGAGGAGGAAATGAATTTTTTAAAAAGTGCTTTTAATATTTCAAGGCTTTCCGCTAAGTAGAACGAGTCAGACAGTTGATGGGATTTCATAATGTGATGGGATGTGATGTGATTATGTGATGAGAGTGTGTGTTATCATATCACATACGTTGGTGTGATAATGCAATGATAGAACGTGATGATACGAGGTGCAGTCGTTCAATGCTATAACGAGTTGTGATACATGGCAATGATGATATAATATCATATGATGCAATGTGATGTAACTTGTAACATTTTTCATGACTCTTTCAATAAAAATAAAGTTAATTTGTCTAATTTTTAAATGATTTATTGGAAAGTTAAGGCTAGGAAACTTTTAATTTGACAAAAAAAATATATTCCATTGATACATACATGTATATATAGGATAGATGCATCTTGCTATCGTTTGGATTGTTTCCAAAACTCGACCACTTGATTTTGAAGAGGATAGAAATATTTTTATATTCAGAAAGATAAAATATAATATTGATCGTTATATTGTTCTATAATCTCTCTCTCTTTTTTTCTCTCCCTCTCTCTTTCTTTTTCTCTCTCTCTCCCTCTCTCTCTCTCTCTCTTTCCAAACACGTTTCTACCTATTGAAACTGAATGTATTGATATGTTTTTTTAAATTTTCATTGATTAGAAATGCAAGTGTGTGTATGTGTGTGTGTGTATGTGTGTATGTATGTGTGTGTCTATGTGTGTGTAGTTATGTTTACCGGTAACCACATGAAAAATAAAGCCTCTCAAACCTTATACTATATTTGTACGTGTATGTGTGTGTTATATATGCGCGTGTATGTGTGTGTATGTGTGCGTGTATGTGTGAATATACATGTATGTGTGTGTATGTATGTATATGTGTGTGTATGTGTGTGTTATTATGTTTGCTGGTAATTACTTGAAAAATAAAACTTTTCAAGCCTATAACATTAGCAATGTTTACTGCTCTAAAAAACTCCTTTATATCTTTATTTCTCTTGTAGCTAACGTTATTATTATTGTTATTATTATTATTGTTATTGTTATTATTCTTATCGCCATCATTATCATAATTACCGGCATACTTTCGAGCAAAATAAAGTTATATTTTTTCCCAAAATTTACATTCCGAGAGTTTAAATACTAATAATAATACTAATAATAATAATAATAATAATACTAATAATACTAATAATAATAATAACAATAATAATAATATAAATGATAACAATAATAATAAAATAATAATAATAACAATAACAATATCAATGCACTTGCATTCCTAAATATTATCGCTATCGTTCAGTTTCAAAATGTCTTCTAGAAGAGTATTTTTAAGAAGTTAAAAGTTTTTTTGCTCACTCTATTTATTTATTTATTTTATTTATACCTACTATGTATAAGTTATTTTTTCATATTTTTTTCATATTTTTTTCATATTTTTTTTCATTTTTTTACAAATTTTTTCATATTTTTAATCGGTGTTTATTATTCTATAGTTAGATATTTATAACTTTCGTCTATTTTTGAAAAATGGATATCCAGAATCCAAAACATATAACTCCAGTGCTGAATACTTCGCATCATCGTCGATACTTATAACCCTTATCACGATCTAAATCATCGTTATCAGTATAAAAATTCGTGTTCGTAAAAACGCTACATTATTATCATTATCGCCACTACACAACTACAACTACAACAACTACAATCACAACTACAACAACTACAATCACAACTACAACAACTACAATCACAACTACACAACTACAATCACAACTTCAACAACTACAATCACAACTACAACAACTACTATCACAACTACAACAACTACAATCACAACTACAACAACTACAATCACAACTACAACAACTACTAACACTACTAGAGAATCCTTATCTCCACTACAAAAGTAACATAGTAGTTGCTACTACTACATCACCATCATCGTCACGACTAAACCACCATCATCATCGTCGTCATCATCATCACCACATCATCGTCATCGTCATCATAGTCAACGTATCATTATCAGAACACAGCTACCCTTGACGATTTTGACCGAATCAAAACATTGGGAACTGGCTCGTTTGGCAGGGTCATGCTAGTTCAACACAAGAGTTCCAAGGAGTACTTTGCTATGAAGATACTAGATAAACAAAAGGTTTAATAATGATGATGATGATGACGGTGATAATAGAAAGATAAATGAAAATGAAGATGATGATGATGATGATGGTGGGGGTGATAATGAACGACGACGATGATGATGGTGGCCGTGGTGATATTTTAGGTGGTCAAGCTGAAGCAAGTAGAACATACGTTGAATGAGAAGAGAATCCTGCAAGCCATCTCCTTTCCATTTCTAGTCGGTCTTCAATATAGTTTTAAGGTTGGCTGTATAAACCTTTTTTGATACCTTTTTGATACCTCTTTGATATATTTTTGATACCTTTTCAAAATTTTTCTAATGCGGTTTAAGTATTCTTTTAACATTCTATAATACTAATATGATACCTTGTAAGGTTTTTTTTTTATTTTTGATATCATTTTGCGATATTTATTATTATTAATGGTATTAACTTATTAATACCATTTTTAAATAACTCATGATGCATTTGAAATTTTTTTTGATAGCTTCTGGTAACTATCTAACGTTTGATAGATTTTTTATACATTCCACTAACCTTAACGATACCTATCAAATACATTTTGATGCTATTTGATGCCCTTATGATACTCTCTCTTTGATACCGAATGCCACTTCAAAAAAAGGACAACTCCAACTTGTACATGGTCCTAGAGTTCGTAACGGGCGGCGAGATGTTCTCCCATCTTCGTAGGATAGGCCGATTCAGGTTATTATTATTATTATTATCATTAATTATTAATTATTATAATTAAAATAATAATAATAATTATTATTATTTATTATTATTATTTATTATTATTATTGTTGTTGTTATTAAAAAAATTGAGTTAAAAATAAGAAGCAAGTATGTTTTTTTATCTGCTGATGAAAATCTGAACCGCCCACAACGGCGATGGTGATGGTGGCAATAATAAAACAATACAAATAATAATAATAAAATAGTAGTTGTAGTAGTAGTAGCAGTAGCAGTAGTAGTAGTAGTAGTAGTAGTAGAAGTAGTAGTAGTAGTAGCAGTAGTAGTAGTAGTAATAATAATAAGAAGAACAAGAAAAAAACAAGTCACAATTACCATGACAACGACAACAACAACGACGGATCAAAGACCGCACGTTCCATGTTTTTGAATAATAATAATAATAATAATAAAATAATAATAATAACAAGTAATGGTAATGTGAACTCTCTTTTATTTCTAGAAAAATATGAAATATAGTAAAATGAGATAAAAAAAAAGTCTAATTAAAATCTAATAAAATAAAATAAAATAGATAAATTGATTTAAATTAAATACAATAGTATTCTACGATGCTCATCATTTGAAATAAACGAGTACATCGAGATATAGTTAGTTTTAAACGAACAGTTCAATTGTTATTGCGTTCACAGTAGATGGCATAAAATGACGGTATTACAGAGTTAATAAGGTTATTATGAAATTGATCTGACCAAATGTTATTGATTAATGATAAATTTAAAAAATTGTAAAAGCCCAATGTTGAAATTTCAAAAGTATTAACTATTATTTTCATGTGTATTGAATTGTCATGCAAATTATTTTTGAGATTTTCTGAGTATTTGATGGTTTTATATTTTTTTGAGTTGAGTAGGTTGGATTCATGGCAGACCGTCAGCTCTAATATTTCTATTGTGTCGTCACGAAGTATTGCAATGTCAGGACGTAGGGATTTGAAGAGACAAGACACTGGAGGGATCCCATCATAGTCCACATCTGCATATATCGAAACATATAATAATAGTAATAATAATAATAATAATAATAAGGTAATCAATAATAATAACAATAAAAATCATTATTGTATATGTGCGGTCACGTGTTATTATAATTCCTCCTACCTGCTTCCGAGGTCTACAAGTTTATCCATTCAGAAAAATCGATTCGACAAATAATAATAACAATCACCTAATAATATTAACAATAATATCAATAATAATAATTATTATTATTATTATAATTATAATAACAATAATAATAATGACAATAATTCTTACCTTCACCATGCATTCCATTTAATAAGTTCAGTCACTTCAGTCCAGGCATGCATTTGAGTCCTTGGTTTGATTCTAAAACAGCAAATGATTTGACTATGAATTTTTCAGAAAAACAATTTCTAATTGATTCCAATAAAATGTCAAGCTTTTAAGTGCGGGTCTGCTTGGTTTATGGTAATCTTTGGTCCTTTGTTGTTGTTCTGTATGCGTATGTATACATAACTACTTTGTAATTAGCATATTCTTGCATAAGTTTTGCATATAATTAAAATGTTAATTGTTTCCAAGAACCTGTGATATGATGTCTTTCGAGATGGCGATGTGATAATCTTCATCATCATCGCCGTCATCATTATCAACAATAATTCATTTTCATCTGATGGTCGGAAGAATCACCACCGTCATAAACTGTATTGATAATCATCGTCATCGTCATTGTCACCGATATCATCATCATCATTTTATTCATTTGAATTATCATCTTCTTCATTTTCATCACCATCTTCTTTACCATCATCTTCATCATTCTCATCTTCATCATCATCTTCATCGAGAACGTCAAAACCCTTTCAACTACCTTCACACACCTACGTTTGTAGACTCACACATCGTTCTTTTAAACTGCGCCTCAAGTCATTAAATTCCACACAGACACACACACACAAAACACACACACAAAACACACACACACACAAAACACACACACAAAACACACACACACAAAACACACACACAAACGTTTCTTAGTTCACTAGCACAAAAAAAATTATTTCATTTTATTTAATTTAACGACACCTCTGTCTTCCGTTAACGCATAAGAACGCTGTCAATTATTCTGTTACCATGGTGTTCGCGTATGGTGATGACGTTGTTGATGACGTCACTGATGTGGTAAACACGCCAATGACGTCACCGATGATGTCATTGGCTTGTTTACCACAAGCAGTTCTGTGTATTTTAAAAACTGAATTCATAAACCTCTGAGAGCAATGTACTAATTAATTTGCTTGAATGTTTACGGATGTACGTGTACGTACAATTAACATTAAGGCAAAATTGCGTGTTTATATTACGCGAAGGGCTTGCAAAAAAACACACGCACACACACGCACACACACACGCACACAGATGACTAATATTCAAAAACAAAATAATCCAAACACTCCACTACGTACATAATACGCACTCGCATAACCAATCCCAACACAGCTTCTCTCTTTCTTTCTCTCTTTCTCTCTCTTTCTCTCTCTCTCTCTCTCTCACACACACACACACACACACATACAAAACTTCACACGCCACATTACACACGCCACAGTGAGCCACATTCGAGGTTCTATGCAGCCCAAATTGTACTGGCGTTCGAGTACTTACATTCCCTTGACCTCATCTACAGAGATTTGAAACCGGAGAATCTTCTAATCGATTCCCAAGGCTATCTCAAGGTCAGATGATGATGATGATGATTAGGATGATGATGATAATGATGATGATGTTGATGATGATGATGTTGATGATGACGAGGATGATGGTGATGATTATGTTGTTGGTGGTGGTGATGATTATGCATTTTGTGATAATAAGGGTATCTCTAGTAGAAACGAATGATAATGATTGAAAACATGTGTGTACGTGTGCGTGTGTGTATGTGTGTGTACGTGTGCGTGTGTGTGTATGTGCGTGTGTGTGTGTGTGTGCGTATGTGTGTGTGTGTGTGTGTGGGATTTATTAATCCGATTTTCACAGAAGTTCTTTATCATTCCAATCTTGATCAAGAAAACAGCGGAATTTTTAAAAAAATCGTCTACAGATAATAATGATAACAACTTCTTATCTTTCAACTTGAATTCAAAAAATTCTAAATCTCATTAACATCAACTGATGAAAATTTTTAGGCTAGATCCTTATAAATAATTTTTTTCAAATCTATATAATCGGTTTAGTCATTTCTTTTAAAGAAAAGGTTATTTGCTATAAATAATGTTATTTATAATAATAATAATTATAATAATAACAATTATTATAATTATTATTACTATTTTTACATAGAATTATTCGCTAAATGCAATAAATAAAAATAAGAGCATAAACTAACATTACTAGATAGCTGGCAGTACCTCAAATGAATGATGATGTTTGTTTATTAGCAAAGTTAGACCGATAAATGATTAGTTTTGGACACACACACGCACACACACACGCACACACACCCACATACACACACACGCAAACACATACACACACACGCAAACATACACACACACATCATGCATCACGCACACGCACGCAAACATGCCCACACACGCACGCATACAAGTTTGAAGTTTGTTTTAAAATAAATTCTCAAATGAAAGGAATATTCCAGTATTCTGACATACAATCACTAAATGAAAATTTATAATTAGCTGGTCAGAAAGTTAACTCCATGATTTATATAAATAAAACATTTAATTAATAATCCGGCATTATTTAAATGAGGAAGATTTATTGTATCAAACGCGTTTTTAGGATATAATATCATTTTGGTAGAAAGTATCATTATCCTGATGACACGTATAAGATATCATCATCTTGAGATGCGATAGAATCATTTTTGATAGAATGTATCTTCATCTCGACAAAACGTACGGTCGAAAATGAGAAACTGTGCTTTCCTTTCTAAATATTTACACTTATCATATAAACATCGAGCAACTAGTTAAAAATAATTTCATCTTTTCAAATTTTCAAATTTATTATTATTATTATTATTAGGTGACAGATTTTGGATTTGCGAAACGGGTCAAAGGTCGCACGTGGACCCTCTGCGGCACTCCGGAGTATCTCGCCCCGGAAATCATTCTAAGCAAGGTGGGAAAAATTGAGATAAAAGGGGTGTAAAAATTTTTAAATTTTTAGTTGAGTGAATGCATGGTTGATTGAATGAATGAATAGATGGAAAGATGAATGGATGAATGAAAAATGAATGAATGGATGGATGAATGAATGAACGAACGAATGGTTGATCGTTAAAATGGAAAGGTTCTAATTTTTTTTCAAAAACACATTTATCAATTCCTTCATTCAATCAATCACTCATTTCTTTATTTGTTTATTCATTCATCCATTCATTCTCCAGGGCTACAACAAGGCAGTTGACTGGTGGGCCCTAGGTGTGTTGGTGTACGAAATGGCCGCGGGCTACCCTCCATTTTTCGCCGACCAACCAATCCAAATTTATGAGAAAATTGTTTCCGGCAAGGTACTGACGACGCGTTTTTGTCCTATTTTATGCTAGCCATCACTATCTTCTTCTTCGCTATCTGTATCATCTTTTTTTTTTTTTCCTCAACACGATCCACTCCATCCTCATCATCCTCATAAAATATTTTTTAAACGATTCTTTCTTTGGAATTTTGCAGACGCATCAACAGCAGACAGGCACAGATCATATGTAAATCTACGTGAATCAGCGTATCAATTATTACACACATTGCGTAACGATACTCTCTAGCGCATATGATAGGCGGGGATCACTCTGCGTTTGAATCAGGTCACTGCGACAGCAGCGGCAGGCACCTTAACTATTGCGCTACCGCGCCAGCCATTGCTATTTCTGAAAATTCATGCCATCAGGTCAGATTTCCGAGTCACTTCAGTTCGGACCTGAAGGACTTACTGAGGAATCTTTTGCAAGTTGATCTGACGAAGCGGTTTGGGAACCTGAAGAACGGCGTCAATGATATTAAACTTCATAAGTGGTTTACCGCTACCGACTGGATTGCTATCTATCAGAAGAAGGTTGGCTGGTTTGGCTGGCTGGCTGGCTGGCTGACTGACTGGCTTGCTGACTGGCTGGCTAGTTGGCTAGTTAACTGGTCGGTCGGTCGGTTGGTTGGTTAGTTGATTTGGTCGGTCGGTTGGTTGGAAGGTCGGTCGGTCGGTCGGTCGGTTAATCTGGTCAAATTGGTCTGTCACATTATTTCTATCTCGATTGTTATCACAGACACGCAAAATATCATGAATAATAAGTATCTAATTAAAAAATAATAAAAATAAAATAATTATTTTATTTAAAAAAAAATAATTTAAAAACATTTATTTTTTTTAAAAATAAAATAATTATTTTATTATTTCTCGCAAAGATCGACGCCCCATTCCACCCAAAATGCAAAGGTCCGGGTGACCCCAGCAACTTTGACGACTACGAAGAAGAGCCCCTGCGCATATCTTCCACTGAGAAATGTTCTAAAGAATTCGCCGAGTTCTAATTGGAGGATGGTGATGAAGATAAAGAGGATGACGATGGAAATGGCGATGGGATGAGGTTGAGGATGCTGAGGAAGATGAAGATGACGAAGACGATGATGATGATGATGATGATGATATGATGATGATGACGTAGTTGGTGATGGTGATGTTGAAATTTCGACAATGAATTCTATTTAGAGGACGATGAGTATGATGGTGAAGATAATGATGAAGAAGATGATGATGAAGATTGTGGGGAAAATTTGGCGTTGAAAAATGTTGAAAAAATTTACTGAATTCTGATCTAACCAAATTATGACGATGATGATGAAAGCGATTATGAACGATGATAATATATACAAGTAATGATGGATAATTAGCAATGATAACGGAAGTGATAATGAATATTTGATGGCGAAACGATGATGATGATAACACGAAGTTTGATGGTCATAAGATATTAGTATCGTTCTGCTGCCACGATGATGACCGTGAATATGATAATAGTAGTAATAATAAGAATAATAATAATAACAACAACAATAACAATAGTATGATAATAATTTAGTATAAATTATAATATATAATATCGGCGATGATGATGATAGTTAATTATGGGTAGGTAAGTAAATTATTTTTATCTCAACAAAAATCATGACACTAAAGATTAATAATATTATTACTATATGTACTACATACACATGTATGTGTGTGTGTGTTGTACATATATATATATATATATATATATATATATATATATATATACACACATTTATATATATATATATATAAACTATCAAAATCATTGCATTTTAAAATTATGATAAATAAATTTCGTTCGTCCTATGTTGTTGGTTAATTGTCAAGTTCGTCATTTTTCTATACTTGTTATAAAACGGTGATTTAAAACATTCTAAATCAAGATTTGTAGGAGTTTGTGTGTGTCTGTGTGAGTTTGTCTGTCCGAGTGAGTGTATGTGTGTGTGTGTGTGTGTGTGTCTGTCTACCTTTCATTGTATTTTTAATTTTTTTTTAGATTTTAGTGACATTTGAAATTATTTA